CATTTTCTTTTATTCACTTCACTCTTTATTCCACTTCATGTACCATATTTCAAAAACGAGCTGTGGATGTAGCTTAGCAGTAAATACCTGCTTAGCATGTTTGGGGCCCCTGGTATAATATTCAGGACAATATGTAAAAAAATGACAATCACTTCTGAATCTCTGCTTTTGCTCCAATCACCTCTTTCAGATCTCTTCTCAAACATTACCTCTTCAATGAAACCACCTCAATTATCAGACTTAAAATGGCAAATTCTATCCTCACCTCCCTGCAATTCTGATCTCCTTTTCCCAATGTTAATTTTTTCAAAGGCATTTACCACTAACTGATATATACATTTAGCCTACTTAATTTCATCCTCTTCTGACAAAAATATGTATTCTAACAGGCTCAGAGGTAGAATGCACACCCTACTGCATCTGTGAGGCCTTGTGTTCAATCCCACCTCCATCCCACAAAAGAATAAACACACACACACATACACACACACACACTCACACACAATGCAATGAGGGCCCAATTTCTGGCAAAAATCAACATTACTGGGTCAAGTAAATCATACCAGAGGTAAAGCAATTAGCCTTATATCCCACTGACCCAGGTTTAATCTCCACCCACCACATTTGGTTCCAAGCACCTAAGCACAGAGCACTAGGCTCCTCAGCACCACCAGGTGTATCTCAAAACCACACACCAAACCCAAAATCAACATTATCATAACAGAGATATAGCCAAGTATATGCTTTGCATGCAGGAGGTCAGGGTTTAATCTTCTGCACTATATGGTCACCAAAGCCAGAAATCGCTCAAAAGCAATGCATGGCCCCAAAACAAAACAAAAATCAGCATTATGTGAGGGATGATTTTAAAAGTCATGCTAAATAAGGAAAAAAAATTTAATACCCCAAAGTTAATACGCCAGGGACGTTGATGAACAGAAGAGCACATGCCTTGCAAGTGTAGTACTCCGGATTTCATCTCCAGCACAGAAAAAAATTAATAAATCATATGGGATGGGGATGCAGCTCTGCAGTAGAGCACATGCCTTGCATATATAAGACCCTAAATTCGATTGCTGAAACACACACATTCCTCAAATATAAAAACATTATTTTATAATCCTAAAAGGTAGTATGTAATTCAGTCTTTTCCTAATTGCCTGATTCTAGCAAACCAATCTCATAAATTTCATACACCACTATAATTCTAGAAATAGATCTAGAAATATTATATTTAGATATACAGCTTGTGCCAGAAAAGGAGTCATAGCCATTTTCCAAGAGCTAAACCAATGTCTTATCCAATTTTTATCTCTAATTCCCAGTGTTCGGAACCTACCATACATAAACTCTCAAATAATTTGTTTTGATTCTGGGACCACACCTAGCTCTCTTGGATCTGTACTTGGGGCTAACTCTGTATCTGGAGGATAATCAGTGCTAGGAATACAGGTCTCCTGCATGTGAAGCATTTGCTGAATCTCTTGAGCTATCTCTCTGGCCCTCAAATTATTTATTGAAATATAAAAATAAAAGATTTAAATAGCCTATTAATAACTGTATAAAATTATAGCTTGAGAAAATAATTTCTGACCATCTAAACAAGCTATGCTTCATTTTAAGTGTTCAATACAGGAAAGATTATGGATCTTATATCTAGCACTATAGCACTGTCCTCCCGCTGTTGATCGATTTGCTCGAGCGGGCCCAGTAACGTCTCCATGTTGAGACTTGTTGTTACTGTGTCTGACATATCGAATACGTCACGGGTAGCTTGCCAGGCTTTGCCGTGCGGGCGAGATACTCTCGGTAGCTTGCCAGGCTCTCCAAGAGGGGTGGAGGAATCGAACCCGGCTCAGCCAGGCCGCTGTGCGCAAGGCAAACACCCTACCGCTGTGCTATCACTCCTCCCAGACATCTAAATTTCTTCCGCTGTTGTTTTGGGGTCAAACCAGGTGATGATGGGAGACCATACATTGCTCTGGATCAAACCCAAGATTTCTGCACGCAAAGCATGCACTCCAACTCACTGAACTATCTCTGGCTCATCTTCCACCCCACCCCACTCCCACCCCTGCAGCATTCAAGGAACCATATGTGGTGCTGGGGCTGACTAGGAATTCACCATTCCTAGGCAAGCATTTACCTCCTGTATTCTCTTGGGCCACTAGACCGTCTAAGGAATTCACAGCCACAGCTTTATCTAATTAATCCTAGCCCTAATCTAGGCTACTTCATCTCCAAACTTTAATATGATGCTTTCAGAAAAAAAAAATTTAAGTAAATACTTTCAGTTTTCTCATTGGTTTTTCTCAACTGCTCTTTCACCTAGATAAAATTTTCAGTTCTTTTTAATATTTCTTTCCTTTGCTATTCAGTCATAAGATCCTGCAACCAACCCTTCCTAATCTCCTTAAATATTCCAAACATTCAGCAATCTTCAACTTAAGCCATTCTCCCTCCCTTTCTCTTTGTTGCTTCCCTTTACAGAAAATGTTCTTTTGAGACCCTCAAGCAGTTCTCTTACCTAGGGGCTGGCCTGAATCCAACAGCTTTCCAAATCTGGTTAGTAGTCTAACTTTCCATAAATTCTAAAGAACACTGATATCCATCTGACTATTTTCCACTTTACCAGAGCCTCTCAGTAGACTTTATATATTTTTACCCCAACTGCTCCTGAAGCAGGAGTCAAAAAACGGAACTGATTCCTAAATATCATTAGTGTTCACATCGCTCTTTTGTCTGGAATTCTCTATAAGCAGTCATCCCCAAGAATGAATTGCCTTAACACAGCAGATGAGTCTTCTGAAATCTAATTTAGATCAGACATCAAATGAACAGCAGAGCTCACTCAAAATCCTATGAATTTGGGAAATGGAAAGATAGGTCAAAGGGCTGGAGCTCATGCTTTGCTTGCAGGAGGTGAGGTCCCCAGAGAACTGCTGAGAGAGACTGACACCAAGCTGGGAATAGCCCCTGGGCACTGCCAGGCATGATCAACTAAGTAAAATAAATACATAAAAAGGAAATGAATCTGAGGACCAGGAAGATGGCTCTAATGGCTGGAATACATGCTCTGCACATAGTAGCCCCAGAGTTGATCCCCATGACCTCATCATCCCCAAAAAAGCAAAGGAGCCAAGAACAAAAATAAGAAAATGAATCTGATACCTCCAATCATCTGACTTAAGGAAGTTTTGAAATATGAGATAACTAAAAACTCAAGTGTCTCAAAAACTCATCTCTGAAAAAAATATCATTTACAACACAGTTATTAAAAATTGGACAGATTAAAAAAGTAATCCTGGGAGCCAGGGAGATGGCTCAAAGGGTCTGAACAGTGCTTTGCATGTTGGAAGCCCCAGGTCTGATCCCCCAGACATCTCAGGAACTCTAGCCTCCAAGCTCTGGTCTCCCAAACAACAAAGTTATTTATTCTGTTTATTCGGGTGTTGCCTATTTTATAAAGTAAGCCACTACCTTTGCTTCTAATTTTGAAGAATCCTTCTTAACAACAGTTCTACAAGAGACTAAATGTTAAAGACCTAAGGCACTCATTCAATTAACTTTTTTCCAATGCCCACAGAATGGAACTAGCTATGTACCATCATCCTTGGCCATGAGTGAAAAAGACATTCAAACCATACCCCGCAGGCCTAAATTTTGGGAACTTGTGGAACTGAGTATGAGGAAGGCTGGTGGAAATCTGATACGTGAGACCTTACCTAAAGGATAGATACAAAATAAAGAGACAACTTTATTACCATTCTGAATAAGGCAACCCAGTACTAAATGATGCACCTTGCGCTTAAACATTCCAACGAAGGCTAAGATCACTGGAGAAACATCCACAATGGGCGCCGCAAATTTTCTTAGGAAAGAAAACTATCTTTTGCAATGCAATACCCAAGGTAAAACAAGTGCTGAATCACAGACATACTGACTTTTGTTTCCCAAATATATAACCGGGGGGGGGGGGGGGGGGGGGGGGGGGGGGGGGGGGGGGTGGGTACACAACCAACTGGAGTAACAAGAACTGTCTTTAGCACACAAGTGTTTTTTTCGACACACAAATCCGTCTAGAGCGATCATTAACTTACAGATAAATGACAGAGGACAGGGCCACAGGCTGAGTTTTTAATTTGCTATATTCGCAACTTGGAAGCGCGAGCCTCCATTTAGCCTGGGTCTGGAGACAAATATGGAGCAAGCCGGGGCCGCCACCAAACTGCCAGCTTCCCTGAGTCATGTTTCTGCCGAAAAACCGCGCTCAGGAAATGGAAAGAATGACAAGAGTCACTGGTGCAGACTCCCAGAACGGACGGGTCTGAAAGCGATCTTTTTTTTTTTTAATAAAATAAAATAAAGCAACAAAACCAAAATTAAAATCCCAAACCCACCCCTCTGCCCTACTCAAAAAAAAAAAAATCCACACACTTGTGTTGTTAGAATTCTGCGGGGCTGCAACGACTCCCAAGGGGGGACGTGGCAAAGCCTGGCGCTGGGTCCCGGTCACCTCCCCCCAACACACACACCCAGAACTGGGCAAACAAATCTGGAACTGTGCAAACGGCACCGCCGCACGCCGGCTCGGGGCGGGTGACTTGGGCACCGGCTCAAGGTGAACGATTCCCCGAGGCGTCCCCGCCGCCCGCGCCGCGAACCTGTCACCCTGTCGCCCGTCTGTCCGTCCGTCCGTCCGTCCGTCCGCGTTCCCCGTCCCCGCGGGCTGAGTGAGCCGTCAGGCCGCCCCCCACACACTCACTACACACCCCAGGGGAGAAGCCGCGGCTGACGGGAGACCGCGACCCCCGCGGGCTGAGCCGAGAGGCCGCCCCCCCACCCCCATTCCCCACCCCGGGGAGATGCCACGGCTGGACAGGAGACCGCGACCCCCCGGGGGTGGCCGCCCCGACACGGCCCCCGGCTCACGCGCGCGCGCGCGCCGCCGCCGCCGCCCGCCCCGTCCCGTCCCGTCCCGTCGCGTCCCGGACGCGGACCTGGAGAGGTGCTTCAGGATCTGTTTCTTGATGAGCCCCGCCATGGTGCCCGGGCGAGAGGCGGCGTCGGGGTCTCGCTCTCGCGCTCGCTCGCTCTCAGCCCCGCGCTGCCGCTGCCGCCGCCGCCGCCGCCGCCTCTCGTCACGGTCGTCTCCTCCGTGTCTGGGTTAGCCCGGCCGCGGGTCAGGAGCCGGAACGCTCACGGCCCGGAGACACCCGAGGCGCTGGCCGAGGCCGCCGCCGCCGCTGCCGCCGCCGCCGGTGTAACCGCTGACCCGGAGCATCGCGCTCAGGCCAGCGAACCCGCCGCCGACGCCATCTTGGCTGCAGCATCACCTAAGAGACCTGGGGGGGGGGGGGGACGGGGGCGGAGGCGGCAGCGGTGTGGGCGGGGCCACGGGGCGGGGCCACTGAGGAGGGGTCAGGGGGCGGGGCCAGGCCGGGGGCGAGCGCTTGGGGACCGGGCTCCCCGCGGGCATCCCTCACTGAACCCTCTGCTGGGGGCTTTTCATTCCCGCCTCCGGCACCTCTTTTCGGGGTGGTCCTCCTCCCCGCTTCCCTCCCCGACAGCTCCTTCCACATCCTCCTCCTCTTTTTCGTTTCCCCCGGAACGTGCTGCATGAACTTCCGTGCTGGCTTTCCTCTCTTTACCTACTCTTTCTTCATATTCTTGCCGAGGAATTTTCATTTCGTCACTTGTGCTGAAATCTCCTCCTCCTCCTCGGGTTCCTTTTCTCCTCCTCCCTCCTCCTCCTCCTCCTCCTCCTCTCCCCTCCTCCTTCTCCTTCTCCTTCCCCCCCCCCTTCTCCTCCCACCAAATGTTGTCATTTACTGTTTCCTCTGATCTTGCCCGTCCCTCGGAGGGAAAAGTTAATTTGCCAAGTCAAATTGAATTCCAAGACCTGCGGGGGTCAGTTGTGAGGCTGGCATTTCCCAGCTTTGTGTAGGAGAGTTTTTAGACGAAGTTTCATCACCTCTCAAAAGATTTAATAATATCAGCCTTACCCACCTCAGTGAGTTGTCTATAAAAAGAAATGATGATGCAAATTGAAAAATTCTGTAAGAAGGAAATAAATATTTGTGGCTTCTAGATCTTGTTAAGGCTCGACTGAGGGCAGCAGGAGTCTGGGTGTGGTCTCCCAATACTGCTTGGTGCCCTCACCACCCCAACCCCACCCCCAGCAGCTCCAGGTGCAGCCTGGAAAAACAGCTCACAAAATGGTAAGGAATGGCAGGGGAGAAGAACTTGGTGAAATAGTAAGGAGAACTATTTTAGTTCTGTGCTTGCACTCCCGGATCACTGCCCCAGATAATTTCTCATAGTTAAAACCAATAAACCAGGGATGTCTAAGAGAGGAAGATAAATTTCATTACTTCTGAGGGACAGAAAGATGTGTGGGTTGAGGGAAGGGATCGTCTGCACATAGTGGTACTGCCTGGCCCTTTTTGAACTTTGAAAAGAGATAGACGTAGACTTATACACTCACTTAACATCTACCATACATTGTAAACAAGATATGATTGGAGTATCTAAGGTTGCCTAAACAGAAATAGAACAGAAAGAGAAACAGAAGTCTGTTCTGGTAGACTCCTGATGTTCAGGCTTTGAACTATGTCATTAGACGTAGTTTAAATCAGACTCAGCCACTTCATAACTGCATACTTGGACAGTTTATTTAATCTCCCTCGGCCCCAGTTAACTTATCTACTGAAGATAATACTATCTAGAAGTTTTGTAAGATTAATGTAAGGCCAGAGTGATAGTACAGGGAGTAGGGTGTTTGCTGACAGTGTTGGATCTCCAGCATCCCAAACCAGCATCCCAAATGGTCCCGAAAGCACAGCCAGGAGTGATTCCTGAGTGCAGAGCCCAGAGTAACCCCTGAGCATCTCTAGGTGTGACCCAAAAAGCCAAAAAAAAAAAGATTATTAATGTAAAGTTTAATAAAGAGCCAAGCACATGACAATACCTTAATACATGTTATTATCACTTTCATGATTGTAAAGAGAAACAAAGTGCTATGAGAAAATTAGATCAGTGACTCACTCTATCTCAAAGTCAGAGGTAAATGTAGAGTGGAGATAATATTTCAAAGATGAGAATAAGTATATAGTACATTCAAAGGCTTGTATTTAAAACCTAGATCCAGATTCTTAGCTGTATTTTACTGAATGTCTGCAAAAACCATTGTGTAATCTCCCTTCTTGAGAATTCTAAAAGAATTAACCAAGCTACCAAAGTAAATTACAGAGGTCCAAATATAATAGAATGGAAGTTATTACTGTTATTATTAATTCACTGGACAGAAAATACTATTATAAGGCTGATAAAACACTATGAACAGTACAGAAGTTCTGAAACATTTTTTAAAGTTCATAGCATCTATATAACAGGAGCTTAATGTGTCTAGAATCTAGATTGATTTTCAAAGCAATAAGTACCAGAGAACCCCACAGATTAATAATTGTAGTTAAAAAAATATTTCATTGAGGAAAAAAATGCTGCAATAATTTCAGGTTCACGTTCCGTGATTTGAAAGAAACACATCTCCACAAAACCACCATCTATTCACTGTTTTTAATTAATTTGAATTTTTTTATTATTGCTATTTAATTATCAGTGTATAACTTTCAATTGAAAATATTACTGTTACACAAATGTGTAATAAACATGCATCAAATATTTATTAACTCATTTTAATACAAGAGCTGCCCAGATTTATATAATTCTATGAAGCTAGTTTATTTAAAACTAGTTTATACATTAATCGAATTTAAATAAAATTAGTGGCATATGTTCATTATGTATCTAGGTCAAACACAACGTTTTTTTTGTTTTTGTTTTGATGCCTTACTAACCAGTGGTGCTTGGTGGCTACACCCAGCTCTGTGTTCACTCCTGGCAGTGCCCAGGGCCTCTATCATGCAAAGTAAGCACTCTAGCCCTTTGAGCTACCTCCCCAGCCCACTGAAATATCTTCAAAAGAATTAAAAATATGACTGAAGCAGAGGAAAAGGATACATAATGACTTTCTCATAGGCCAGACTTAAAGATACACAGCCATTTTAAGCAACAAAGGGCCCAAAGGAACACAACTGGAGCACTGAAACATACAGTTGTGATGAGGGAACTAAAGCGTGTTGGGAGCCTGTGCTAGTTAATATTAAGAAAGTTCTTGTCCTAGGGATGTGTTGACTAAAGGTTGGTTTATTAGAAGCTATTGTCTTGGGGTTACACATTCTAAGGGCTGACTTTCTTGTTTTTCCAGTGGGCTCTTTCCCCATTCTTGTGGCAGAACATGTTGCTAAGGTGTATCAATATATAACCAAGGAAAATATCAGAAAACATCATTTGTGTAAACACACAAAAACGGCAGGCAAGGGGGCTGCCGCGGCCTATCTCTCCCGCCTCTGGCGTTAGGTAGTCTCAGGCTATTTCCAGGGAGGTTGATGGGGATGGTCAGGAGGGCTAAGCTGGTTGGTCTTAGCAACAGTTTATTACATGCAAGAAATGTATATCATGGAGGCCTCAGGAGTCCTCAAGCATGTGCACCCTGAGAGAGCCCCAAAAATCCCCTTATCTAGATCATGGTACCTCTAAAGGGTGCAATATAGAGAGGTCATCAAAAGGAGTTACAGAAAGAACCTTGAGGCAAACCATACATTGTTTCTTTATATCCACATTGTTTCTTTACATCCACAGGCCAGTAATCTTGGCCTCACCTTTTACAAACTACTTGGATTAGCATATCAAAGACCAGTCTGCTAGAGCTTGGAGCCAACCTCTCAAAGATCAGCTTGCCTGGAGCCAGGCATCTATATCCCCAAGATCAGGCTTGGGATCTGCATACCTAAAACCAGCTAGTTTCCTGTGAGATAAGGGAAACTGCCTCAATATACTGAAATCATTTACTGAAGGCAGTTTGAAGGGGAGAAAGGTTCAGTCTCATCCAAACTAGTCTGGACACACAGGAAAACTGCTTCTCAGACAGATCAACCCACCCTAGAACAGATTTCCCTGGATGTGTTTCTCCTCTCCTTGTCCGACCAACATATAAGCATACATAATATAAATCATTTTGTATGGACACAGTAAGAAATACTTTGAGCTTATAGAATTGCTCTCCTAGGGCCATCTCGATCTCAGACTGCAGTGCTCAGGCCAGATACCTTTCCTAGTCCTAGCAGCAGGGTCCTAGTCTCATCATTACTTTTGGATCATGACAGCATTTGCCTATGATCAAACTCTTAACTTATAGTTAAGAATCATGGCACCTTGGCTTGGCCCATCTCGATACATAATTTACCGGCTTGCTCTGGTTCCATCCAGTCCCATGTCGGGACCCTGCTTTTGGGGTGCTAGGAAGTGAGGGCAACTGAGGCTTAAGTTGAGAAGGCAGAAGCCCGGGAGTGAATAATCACTTGATCACTTAACTTCTCATTAATCGTCGATTTGCTCGAGCGGGTGACAGTAACGTCTCCATTTGTCCCTGTCGCGTGCTAGTGTAGCCCAATGGCGTCTGTTCTCTCTAGGAACATGAAGAGCCTCAAACCGATCGTTCATGATCTTGATGAAGAAGTCTGACCATCTGGTAGGTGGGCAGCCACGCGGTCTTTTGACATCCCCTGGAATCCAGTCGGTAACAGCTCTAGTCCAGTGGTCGTCTTTAAATCTCATTACGTGACCAGCCCATCTGATTTTTAACACCTTGGCAAACGAGACAGCGTCCCTGATTCTTGATCGTCTATGGATGTCGGAACTCTGGGTTCTTTCTCTCATTTGAGTGAAATGTGATATTCCAAGCATAGCTCTTTCAATTCCTCTTTGGGAGTCCTGAATAGCATTCTCATTCTGTTTTCGTAGGGCCCAGGTCTCTGAGGCATATGTTAATGCAGGAAGAACAGTGGAACCAAAGAGATGTGCCCAGAGCCAGAGGTTCTTCGTCCTCTTAGCTATTTCTTCGACGCTCTTGAAGGCGTTCCAAGCCGCTCTCTTCCTCCTGCACAGCTCGGGTGCCAGGTCATTTGTCATGTTGACTTCTCGACCGAGGTACACATAGCTGTTGCATTCGGAGATGGTCGTTCCGTTGAGAGCGAATGGGGCAACAGGAACGAGGCTGTTTCTGATAAACATTGTCTTCGTAAGATTCAGCTGTAGTCCTACCTTTCCACACTCACGGTCGAAGTCGGCCAGCATTTGTGCCGTTTGGCTGATGTTTGGTGTTATTAAAACAACGTCATCAGCAAAGCGGAGGTGGTGTAGTTGCCGACCATCTATCTTCACTCCCATTCCTTCCCATTCCAGTCGTCGCATGATGTTCTC